TGCTCCAGAAAAAAAGGCCTCTTTTCTTTATTTATTTTTCTAAGTAGTACTAACTGGAGATGAAATGGCATTTTAGCAGCATACAGTGTGGTTCCTGAGCATTCTACACATGAGCAATTTTACAATGAATAGATTGGAAATTTTAGCAATTTTTAATATACACATTGAAACAATCATCTAGTTTTCTCCTTTTAGTAGTAATTCCATGGGGTTAATTTGACAGCAGACTTTCTTCATGTTAAATTATCCTTGAATTGTTCAAGATAAGTTTGAACTATTTCTAGTATTTTATTCCTATCTTTATCTTTATTCACTAGCTTGAGTGGGCTTTATAGCATTATCTTGACCTGTTAATGATTTCTAGATCAATGAGGTTCTTCTAACACTATTTGAGGAAAAACATTTTTGAAGATAGGGGTTATCTGTTTGCTTTAAAATTTATTTTTATTTCACATATATAGGTGTTTTGTTTGCATGTATGTCTGTGCACAATATGTGTACCTGGTGCCCATCAGATCCCTTGGAACTGGAATTACAGACAGCAGCTGTGAGCTGCTATGTGGGAACTGGGAATTGAACTCAGAGTTTCTAGAAGAGCAGCCAGTGCTCTTAACCTCTGAACCATCCCTTGGGTCTGAATTGCCTTTCTTTAATGCCCAGTCCACTGGCCTGTAATGCCATCTCAGATACTTAGGTTAGAAGTATAGGATATTAGCCAGCACTCGGGAGGCAGAGGCAGGTGTATCTCTGTGAGTTCAAGGCCAGCCTGGTCTACAGAGTGAGTTCCAGGACAGCCTCCAAAAGCCACAGAGAAACCTTGTCTCAAGAAACCAAAAAAAAGAAAAGTATAGGAATTAGGCTTAAGCTGTATTATTTCCTTGGTAGTTGTTAGTATATTTGTATTTCCAATTTCTTCTAGAATCTCTTTAGAGTTGCATTTTTCTTGGACATTTTCTGGGTTGATTTCATCATTTCTTTATTTAGATTAGTTATATATTTTAAAGCTAGGCAGCTAGCTGACTTTGAAAAAAATCTTGTAATTTTTTTTTACCCTCTAGGAATTTGTGCTCTCATATAATAGTTACATGGTCTGAATCATATTTTCCAAATGTATTGACTAATACATTGAATCACCTGAACTTCCTAGAGCCAAGATAAATTAGATCTCCTTTTTGTTTCAGTCTACCTGGAACTTTCACCCCAATAGATCAGGTTAAACTGACAGTGTTTATTCTTTAGGAAGACTTTTCTGGCAGCCATCAGCAAGGTACTGTAAGCTTTTTTCTTTCCATGACTTTTTAATGTATAAATATTTACTGTATATAATGTATACACACATTGTTGTAGTTCTTGGAAGGTTTCTGCTGTATATATCAAAAAAGCAGTTTTCAACAACCAATTTTAGGAGTATACTGATAATATACAGTAGATATCAGGTATGGTGATTTGAATCAGAGTGGCTCCCGTAAGCTCATATATTTGAATACTTGGTCCTTGGCTGGTGGAACTGTTTGAGAAGGATTAGGGGTGTAGCCTTGTAGAGACGATGTCACTGAAGGTAGGCTTTGAGCTTTCAAAAGATTAGTGATTCTCTCTTTCTGCATCAGGGCTGTATCTCAAAATGTGAGTTCTCAGCCATCCTGGGCTCTGTCTAAAATCTTAAACCAGATTATAAATTGTCATTTTTTTCTTTTATAAGTTCTCTTTGTCATGGTAGCTTATCACAGCAATATAAAAGAAAAATGTATCAGGCATGAGAGAACAAACCTTTAATTCCAGCACTTTGAAGGAAGAGTTCAGTGGAATAATGTGACTTTGAGGCAAGCCTGGTCTACACTGTGTTTTCCAGGCCAAGCAGAGCTACATAGTGAAACTTTCTCTCAAAGAAGAAATGATACTGTAGAGTGAAGCTCTGGAGAATTTGGGTGCACAGACATTTACACTTGACTCCTCCGTGTTTTCCTATCTCCCAGTCCAAACTGTAATGTGCTGCAAATGTGTTACAATGAGAAGCATCCCTGGATCTCTAATGACAAAGCAAAATAATTGAAAGCCTGTGGGTTGTCATTAAATATGAGCTGGAAGTTTATTATCCAATGTTATAGAAGGGGAGGAGTATCTCAGGAGGTTTCTGTCCCCACAGACATTCAGGAGATCTGCCAACTCCTGGTCTTTCATGGTGGTTTTTATGACATTCAGTGTGTGTGTGTGTGTGTGTGTGTGTGTGTGTGTGTGTGTGTGTGTGTGTGTGTGTGTGTGTAAAACAGCTTTTCATTTTTAAATTTTTCATTTTCTTTGTTAATTTACTTATTTGTTTGGTTGGGTTTTTTTTTGTTTTGGGTTTTTTGGGTTTTTTTGTTTTTTGTCTTTTGTTTTTTGTTTCTTTTTTGAGACAAGGTTTCTCTGTGTAGCCCTGGCTATCTTGGAAATGGCTGGCTTCGTACTCACAGATATTCACTTACCTCTGCCTAAGTGCTGGGATTGAAGGTGTGTGCCACTATGCCTGGCTAGTTAGTTAGCCAACCTTTAAGAGAGTATGTAGCAGGATCTTTCTTTTGAGCCACCAACCAGCTCCCAAATCAAGACATGGAAACTTCTTATATTTTTGGATGTGAGACTAGTCTTTAACAGCTGAGCCATCTCTCCAGCCCACATGGAGACTTCTTATTAGTTATGAATGCTTGACCTTATCTTAGCTCTTATTTCTTGCTAGCTCTTATAATTTAACCTGTTTCTCTTCATCTTCATTTTGCCTCAGGGCTTTTTACCTTTCTTTCCCTCTGTATCTTACTTTCACTGCTCCTCATGTCTGGCTGGCGGCTGCCTGACTTCTGGCCCTGAGCATGTCCCTTTCTTTCTCCCTCGTTCTCTCCTCCTCCTTCTTCTCTCTCCTCTAACCTAGAGTTCTCTTACTTATTCTCTCTTCCCACCAGCCCCACAGATCCTTCTCCAGCCTAGCTTGTGGTCACTCAGCTTTTTATTAAACCCATCATGTGTCTTAGGCAGTCAAGGTGAAACAGCAACACATCTTTTCATTGTTAACCAAGGCAGCATAAACAAATGTAACACATCTTTACACAGTTAAAATAATATTTTAGGAGGTGTGGAGGCCACATCTCCGCAACAAGAGTGTATTACAGGAAGCTATCTGATGAATACTGACAGCAGGAAAGAATTGGGTGGGGTCTCATATTTGCCTTTGATGCTAAGTGCTTTATCTTATCCTTTTATCTGAATAGGCAGGTCCCACTGCTGTAGGATATGATTTTAAAGTGTGTTGCTTTTGTTTATGCTCTGGAACATTTGTTTAATGATGCAAAGATGTGTTTGAGTAAATAAAATTCACCTGCGGTCAGGAGTCTGGGTCAGTAGCTAGCTGACAGGAAGTTGCAGGGAGGAGTCAGGTGGAGAAGGTTTATAAGGAGGGGTGAGCCAACACTAGGACTTCTTGGGAGACCCAAGGTGAGCTGCTTGCTGTTCAACCTCTCTGGGAAGCAGGATTTTACCTCAACCTTTGAATCTTGAGTTCTTTAGTGGAACAGAGATTTAAATAAGTTTCCTTAGTAGCTTTGAAAGGGTCGGTTCCTGAGGGTAGTGAATAGGCTGAATAGGATGGCTGTATCATAAAAAGGCCAAACAAAGAGAAACAACATTCCCATCTTCAATCTGAGGCTTCAGGTATGGTCACGCTCCCCGGTATAAGCCCCGAAATGTGCCCTGGCTCTATCCCCTCCACTTGCTGCAGTGCTCTATCCCCTCCACTTGCTGCAGTGCTCTATCCCCTCCACTTGCTGCAGTGCTCTATCCCCTCCACTTGCTGCAGTGCATAGTACTCTCAAAGGCCTTCTCACTCCTCATTGTATTAGAACAGAGTTTCTCAGAGGAAGACATCTTCCTCAAGGAGGGCAACTACAAAGTCCATGAACACAATCTTGCACCCACAAAGCCTGGCAGGCAGTCTCTTACCCACAGATGATTTGAAGTATCTGCTTATTAACCAGAGTGCATGGGGCTGTCTTCCAATATAACCTATGGTGAACACTGACTTTTTAGCCCAGATGCACCTGCTGCCCTGCCGTCTGGACAGAGCACATGTGTCACAGTGTGCATGTAGAGGTCAGCAAACAGCAGTGTGGATCTGATTCTCTTCCTCCAGCTTCATGTGGGTTCTGGGAACTCCTCAGCTCAGGCTGTCAGGCCTGAAGAGCAAATGCTTTCACCCGGCCTGCCTGCCAGTCACCCCACCCCCAAGGAAGGAATAAGTCTCCAGTTATCCTAAGTAATATTTTTAATATCACATAGTATTCAAAATCCCTTATTTTCACTGCTCCTCCTGATGGGTACTGATTGTGCATTTTACAGCTAAACTACCTAAAGCTCATTAAGTATCAATAACTCGTCCTAAGCAACATAGCTTATAAGAAAGTAAAACTAAGTCCATTCATAGGAGGACCCTCCAGCCAAAGATTCCTACATTTTCAGAAGTTGTCTATGATACCTAGTTGGGCAATACGGTGCCATTTATAAACTGAGAAAACTCCTACAGGGACCTGTAATTGATTATTTTTATACACTTCTGGCTCTTTGGGGTCCTGCCACTCAGCTCCCAAATAATCACATGGAGTCTTATTTTTGCCTATGAATGCCTGATCTTAGCTTGGCTTCTTTCTAGCTAGCTTTTCATATCTTTTTTTTTTTTTTTTGGTTTTTACGAGACAGGGTTTCTCTGTATTGTTTTCGAGGCTGTCGGTCCAGCCCAGCCTTGAACTCAAAGAGATCCGCCTGCCTCTGCCTCCCGAGTGCTGGGATTAAAGGCGTGCGCCACCACCGCCCGGCACTTTTCATATCTTAAATTATCCCATCTACCTTTTGCCTCTGGGCTTTCATCTTTCTTCATTTCTGTATACCTTTCTTCTTACTCTGCAACTTGCTATGTAGCTGGGTGGCTGACCCTTGATGTCTTCCTCTCCTCCTTTTCTCCATCCCCAATCTCTTCTTCCCAGATTTTTTCTTCTATTTATTCTCTCTGCCTGCCAGCCCCACCTATCCTTTTTCCTGCCTTGCTGTTGGCCACTCAGCTCTTTATTATCCCAAATCAGGTGTTATAGGCAGGCAGTGACACAGCTTAACAACTAAACAAATGCAACGTGAAAGAATGTGACACATATTTGCATCGTTAAACAAACATTCCATAGTATAAGTAAATGTAACACATCTTTAACTGATGTTCTACAACAGAGACCCTCAAGTTTGTGATCCGTGGTCCCCAGGAATATGGCACAGTTCTTTTCTCTGTACCTCCTCCCTCCCGTGAGGCAGAGGATATGACTCTGAGCCTCATGGAACTCACCCATCATCCTAAATCTGAGGTAAAGTTTACTCTTAACTGTAGCCCTTTTCAGAGACGCCCCTCTATCCATGTCTACCCCCATGCTGTCCTTGATACTTGAATTGGGTTTAGCATTAGGCTCAGACTTTTGTAAAGACAGAAAAAGGAATCCTCTTAAAGTTGCTTCTGTTAACACCCTGAATAGACACTTAAAGTAGTACGATGTGCACACACAGTAAATGCAAAATGAGCAAAGAAAACTGTGCTAATCTGCTTCCACTGTCAACTTGACACAAACCTAGTCACCAAAAGGGAACCTTGGCTGAAGAATCATCTACAGCAGATTGCTGCTCTGTGAACGTATCTGTGAGGCATGTTCTTAATAGTTAATTGGTGTAGGAGGGCCCAGCTCATTGGGGATCTAGGCTGTTTGAGGAAGCCAGAGGAAGCAAACCACTAAGCAGTGTTCCTCTGTAACCTCTGCTTCAGTTCATGCCTCAATGGATGATAGCCTATAAGCCAAGTAAACCCTTCCCTCTCCAAGGTGCTTCTGTTCAATGTCTTATCACTGCAACAAAAAGCAAATTAGAATAAAAATCAAACCATAAATTAATTTCTAAATACAGATATTATCCTATAATACTCCTGAAGTGAGAAGCCATTCTGTCCTTGGAGGAGGAGAGTGATGGCTCAAGGTACTATTGTCTGAAATGAGAGTAGCCATGTGGGATGTGTTGGTACATGCCTGTAGCCCCAGTTACTGAGGTTGACATGAGAGGATCATTTGACCTCAGCAATTCCAGGCCAAGCTGGGCAACATGGTAAGACTGTTTTGAAAAATGAGGGGATTTGTTGGTGGTGGCACAGGCCTTTAATCTCAGCACTTGGGAGACAGCGGCAGGCTACAAAGCTATACAGAAACCCTGTCTCGAAAAACCAAGAAAAAAAATGAGGGGGGTTAGGATAAGGAAAGTGAGGAGAAAGGAAGGGAAGGGGAGGAGGAGGGAAAAAAAACCCTGTGTTTGTAGCACTTAGAATCAAGTTGGCCATCTCACAACAAAATAAATGTAAATTACTTCATGAGGAGCAGAGGCAGTATTTCCAATGATCTTGCCAAATGAGGAGGGATAGTCTGGTAGAAATGGAAATGGGTCAAAGACCAGGCCAGCCTGAGGTACAAAATGTCTCTAGAAAAAAAAATACCCAGGCTTAGAGCTGTTAGTAATTTTATTATGCCCCAGGAACTGTGAAGGAAAAGCAGTTAGTGATGTAATAGAGAAGCACACTTTGTCCACATTTCCACAGTCTCTTTTTAACCTTCAAATCATTCATTATATATGATGGATACTGAAACTGTGATAAATAAATTCATTCTGTTGTCTCAAAAATGGCTGCAAATACACGAATGGCTAGTAGTATTTACCTTAAATCAGAAATTACAAGTAGAATAGAATGTAATGCCAGCCTCCTACTTTTTCACACAAGACAACTAGACGAAAGTAGGACATTTTTAGGTCTTCTGCTGTAAAACTTGTAGTTTATCACTCTTTCAAAACTGAAAACTAGTCTATTTCCTTGTGAGAGTAAAACTCTGGTGTGAGGTCTCAAGTGTTTTCCTTGAGGGAGGACCATACTCTCTTGGATGTGCGCATTATGCATATGACACTCAAGCTGTCATTCTGCATCAAATTACTTTTGCTCTTTTTATTTCACTATCCATGTAGAATGTGAGCTCATGGCAATGGCATTTGTGCTTTGTGACATGGGGACTAGACCTTCCAGGTGACCTTTTTCAAATCACACATGGCAGCTAGCTGAATATCAGTTGTCCTCTTTCAGGTGATGACATTTGAGTTGTCCTCTTCATCTTGGGGCCTTCCAAAGCCAATGTATTCATCCAACTTACCAGCAGCATTAACAGTGATGAACACTGTCTTCCCCCCCCCCGCCCCGCGCTGAATTTGTAAAGTGTATCTTGTCATTTTCAATTACTAAACTGTTAAAAGAAACCTGTCTTCCTGTGAGTGTTACTTGTAGCCATGCCCATGCTAATGCTAGAGATGCTGCCATGCTCTCCCTGCCACAGGAAGGAATGTGTACTTAGGCTGGATTGCCTACTAATCCTATTATTCTAGTCATAAAAGGCTAATTCTAGATTATACTAATGGAGGTAGCAATTTACAGCTGATCTAAAAAATCCTTTTAAATATTTGACTTAACTTTTTCTCTGTGAACAATATAATAACAGGAGAAACCAAACAAATGCATATATTCTTGCAGCTGGAATTTAGTAAGAACGTAGCAAGTACAAATGGTTCAGCAAACAAAAGTCATCAGAATTTTCATTGTTGTAACCAAATGCCAAATAAACAACTTGGGTGGGGGGAAAATTTATTTCGGCTCACAGTCTCATGATTTGGAGACTGTGGTGGAGCAGGGAAGTTCATATGATAGCAGCCAGGAAATGGAGCCAAGCAGTAACTAAGAGGGCACTAAAGCAGGATATAGTCCCCAAGGACATGCTCCCAGTGACCAACTTCCTCCAGCCAGCCTTCACCTTCTGTACTCCCACTGCCTCCCATGAGCTATTCAAATATTAACCCATCCATGATGAAGCCATTCACTAGGCCAGGCATCTTACGATTTCAATCATCTCTGGAAATGCTCTCAGAGGGACACTTAGGGGTGTGCTTTCCTAATCTAGGTGTTTCTCAATCCTATGGAGATGATAAGACTAATTATCACAGGTCATGGATCTACTAAGTAAGTGATCTGAGTGTTAAAAAAATTGTTTTAAGTTTTCCTGATACATTGTCCTCTCTGAGTCTGTGGTTTAGAGAGTTGATGGACTTTTCTTCAGTACTCTGTACACCCACTATCCACTGTTGGTGCTTCTGGTCCCCCCAGAAAGCTGACGATGGGAAACATCAGCAGAAAAGCAGAAGCAGAATGGAGTAGCATGTCTGTTGTTCCTCGACCCCTGCTTCAGTGAAGGTGTCATTCAAGATCTGCATGACGTAACTATGGCTCTCAGCTACCGTTCCCTTCTGCAACCTTTACACTCAGAGTTCCGTACCTGCCTCCTGCTCTTGCTGGTCTCTAAGCATCTCGTCATCCTTACTCCTACCCTCGTGCCTTCTTCCATGTGAAGATGCCGCAAGAGAGAACATCCTGGGAACCCAGGAGACCTCACCAAACATCCAATGCTCTGTCGCTTGATCTTGCACTTCTTACCTTCCAAACCTGTGAGAAAATAAATCTCTTCATAAATCATCCAGGCTCTCTTGCTTATAGCAGTAATAATAAGGTAAGGCAAACCAACCTGACTGGAGTCTTGATGTGAATAGATATGAATTGTTTGAAAATTGGCTTTTTTTGAAATCTGAATATATTGGAATATGGGTACTGATAGGGAAAACCGTGATGAACATTTTAATTTACAAGGTAAGCAACTTTGGGTTAACTATTCACAGCCCCGTGGCTAATGTTTATCTTTACTGTCTCCTGTAATTACACTTCCTCAACTAGGTCAAGTTTTTCCTATTCAGTTTGTAATTTGGGAGGCTTAAAAATAAATATTCTTCACTTGTTTTATGTTGTTAATATTATGTAAAGGGGAAATAAAATTGAGTAACTCAGCAAGCATGAAACATAGGCCACAAAGTAAAATATTTCAGCTTGATTCAAAGTGTTATACCTGGTATGGTGGTGTGAATAGGAATGGCCTCCATACTCCATACACGGAATGATTGGCCATTAAGAAGCAGTATTACTTGAGAGGTTAGTAGGTGTGGCCTTGTTGGAAGAGCTGTGTCACTGGGCATGGGTTTTGAGATTACAAAAGCCCATATCAGGCCTAGTTCTCTCTCTTCCTGCTGTGTATGGATCTGGATATACAACTCTCACCTACTCTCCAGCACCAGGTCTGTCTGTGTGCTGCCATACTGATAATGAACTAAGTGTCTGAAACTGTAAGACAGTCCTAGTTAAATGTTTTCCTTTATAAGATTTGTGGTGTCTCATGACAGCAATAGAACTAAAGCACATGGGAATATGTAAAATCCTAAAATTCGCTAATAAGTAAATAGAAGCAAATATACACTCAAATTAGACATCTCATTTATTTGTATAGACAACCTAAAATATCATTCTCATTTCAAATCAAATATAATTTTCTTTTAACTTATACTACTGTCTATAGCTAACCAATCAAGAACCAATGTTAATTGTTAAAACCACACCTAATAGCAGCATATGTATCTACCTCATGCTTTCTTCCTGTTAACATTTATGTTTTTAACACACACGCACACACATGCTTTAAAGAAACTATTTATATGTTATAGTAAAAAACTCTTCTCAGATAATAAAACTCTGCCACTGCCCAAGAAAATGAAAATGGGTCCTTAGAAATCCATTTTGTGTGCATTTGGCCTGGCACTTTGTCACCCAGAACTGTAGTTCTGGAACTGTGTTTCTAGACACAGATTACAGCGCTCATCTGTCTCTTCTGTAAATAACGGGGCAGGATCCGAATATCTGGCTCTCCCCTTGTTGTGTACCCAGCATTTAACCTCAGGCCCTCAGTGGTCACTGGCTGAATGAGGGAACCAGAACCAGAGAAACAGCCCATGAACTTTGTTTGCAGAGGTCCCCCAGATGCTTCTGGTGACCAGCTAATTCCAGAAACCTACACTGGCCTTAACACTTAAAATCTGGGGGAGATTTCAGCTCTCATCTCGTTCCCTGTACTTGTCTGGCAACCACAGGACATAAAGTCCGGGAAGTTAAATAACTTGTCACTTACAATCATATTTTCATATTTAGCAACACATTTTGGGATTAATGATGACAATGAGAAAATGAGACTAAAAGATAGAGTTTTTACCAAAAAAGGCAAACTATTTTACTACTTAGCCTTAGGGACTGAGAAAGGCCAGCCCCGTGCAGGCAAAGGATAATCAGAGCTGGGTTCACAGCAGTGCCTGCTCACTTCAGGTCCTGTCCCGGGACCTGTCCCAGGAAACTAAAGGGACCTCCTCCTGTGTTCCTTCTCTTCTCTTGGCTTCCATCCAGTTGTGCCTAAGAAGAAATGGGGCTTTCTCTTACTGAGTATCTACGTTGCCCTCTTCTCCCATACCCCTTCTCCTCTGGGCAGCAGAAGCTAGGCAAAAATCAGTGAAGCCATTTTTTTCCTCCAGAAATCTATCAACAATTTGAAATTCACTTGCTAACATGATATTTTGTACAAATACACCAAAAATGCTTCATACCCAAGCCTCTTACTTCTGCCTGCATAGTAACATGATTAGAAAATATTTGCGGCTAGATATTCATCAGAAAGTAAACATTTATTCACCTAGCTGTTATTTCCAGAGTCGTTTCACTATGTTTAGTTGGAATTTGCTTCAACCCATAATAATCTTTAAATCTTTTCAAAGGAATGCTTCAGTGATCTCTTCACGAGTGTGATGGCATCAGTTTTAAAGCAAAACTTAGTATCTGTTGGGAAATAATCCTCGTTAAAAGTATACTGTCTCAAAGACTATAAATAATAATAAGAAGCAATGGTGAGGAACTTACTGTGTGGCAATCATTATGCATGGAATACCACATCTGTCTGGACAATATATGCTGGTTATACAGCTATGCAGGAATGTGCAGAGATACACATACACATCTGTAAGTATGTGTCCTCTTAACAGTTTCTGAGCACATAGGAAGGTGTGGTTAGTACTGAAGCGACAATGGTATTTGCCTAACCAGTGACCATTCACCTTTCTTGCTGGGCCTCTGGGAAGGAGAAGGAGGTGTCTGTGTTGATTGCATCCCATTCCCTTTCACTTAGAAATCTTTCACTTGAAAATGTCTTGTCTAGAGCTATGTAGTCACTCTATGACATTGAAACTTGGACTTGTGGACACACTTTGAATGGAGGCTGGATCCTTGTTTGTCACCAAACCTGAATTCCATGGGCACTAACGCATACAGGGTTAGCACACAATTGGTTATTTACTTCTAGGGAATGGAACCCAGGGTTTACAAATTCGAATATAGTTATGCCACTTTTATTATTTTTAATTGTGTGTGTGTGTGTGTGTGTGTGTGTGTGTGTGTGTGTGTGTTTCTACACAGGCCAGAGGCATCAGATTCCCCTGGAACTGGAGTTACAGACAATTGTGAGTTACTCATCATGGGTGCTAGGAATGGAACTCCAGTTCTCTCCAAGAGCAGCAAGCACTTTTAACCACTGACCTATCTCCAATCCAGCCCCTAGTGTAATGTTTTCTACCACATATAAACACTTTCAAAATTACAAAGCAGGGCTGGAGAGATAGTTCAGTTAACAGGAGCGCTGGACTGAGGTTCAATTCCCAGCATCCACATGGAATTTTACAACCATTCTAGGGGATCCAATGCTTGAATCTGGCCTCTGAGTGCACCTCACGTGCACGTAGTGCACAGATATACATGCAGCAAAACCATACATATAAAATAAATAGTAAAAATAAAGCAAAGTAAAAAGACATGACAAATAAATTTTTTTACAAATTGAATTCTGAATAGCTGGCATATTAACTGAAGAAAACCCAAGGAACATAATAGTTGAATAACGTCCTAACCACATAGCCATGGCTTACAGCTATTTTAATGTCAATATCCACATGTCCTATCATTTAGACTACTTCAGTGCTTAGTTTTTTTAGGACTGCATTGCTCACTATATAGCTCAAGCTGGCTGCCAACTCATGATGCTTCTGCTCCAGCCGCCCAAGCTTGATTACAAGCAGCTGCTGCTTTTGAGTTTTGCTATTGATTGGATTTTTTTTCTCCAAGTGGTCAGGGGTATGTTTATCTCTCAAACACTGCAACTGTAAGATTCCTTACACTAGCTAAGTGTGTAGGTAGGGATTGTTACTCTCCATTGTGATTTACAGTGATCACTTTGTGTCCCTGAGTTTCTTTCCAAATAAGAGGGAAGAGTTGGCTCTACTGACTAAGACTATGAGTCAGTAGCTATTTCTACCTGGTAGAATCATTGACTGGAATGAGGAAGACTAACTGAAGAGTCACTGAACATGAGCCAGGAAAGGCCCACTACCTTTGTACTAGGAGCCATCCTGCTAACATCGATTAACAGCTATGGACCCACAAGGAGGTTCTCATTCAGAACATGCTTGTCTAGCATCCTAGGGATGAATTATCCTAAGAGATCCACTATTTTCTTCTCATTTCCCCTGAGAACTCCCTATCTTGGGCATCTTGATTCCCCTAGATGGGTTTAGGAACTGAACAACAGTTGGCATCTGTCACGACAGCATAGAAAGGGGACACCCTCAAAAAGCAGATGTCCTGGCCTTGACTGGCAGTGACAACAAGGAGGAGCACTGGGATTAACAGCATCAGGAAGGGCAGTCGTAACACAGCCTCCACTGAGAACATCTCCAAGTAGGAGTGCTAGCAGAACCACACTTCTTTCTTCATGGTGCCACCCTGACACCCAGCACTAAAAATAGTGTTCTTCTCAGAGTCCTGTGCTCCTTTTATTACTATGACACTCTCTCCAGGGCTTCACTCTTGTAATCCCTTTGTAATACCACCTCAGATGTCTTCATTAAGGGTACTTTGTCCTTTTTCCCCTGCTAGAATTCAGGCATCTGTACTGGCCTGTCCTTGGGGCTCTGACAGGATACGCCCTCAGCTGCAGTCACCAAGAGCACCATCTGTGTACATTCACTGCATTCCCTTTTAAAAGGGCCCTGCCCACCTCCCATCCTTCTCTCTCCCTTTCTTTGTCTGTTTCTCTCTTGCTCCTCCTCTCTCTCTTCCCCTCTTTCCCCTCTCTCCTCCTCTCCTTTCTCCTCTCTACTGCTGCTCCTGTCTCTGGAGTCTAGTCTCCCCCCTTCCCTTTCCCCTTTTATAATCCTTTTCCCTAATTAAAAAAAACACTCTGCTTGGACCCTGCCACATGGCATCTTTCTCTTGTGCCTCTTTTCTTAAATTACAACATCCCCCTATCCAAGATTTGGTGAAACAAACGTTTGAACAAAACCAATTATCTGCATTTAGAAAAATGGTTCAGTAGACAAACGTGATTGCTACATGGGCCCAGTGGCCTGAGTTCAATCACTGGGCCTCATGCAAAGGTGGGGAGCTGAAACCAGCTACCAAAGTTCTCCTCTGACCTTTACACAAGTGAAGCAATGCCTTGTGTGCTGGATCACATACGTCCTCCACATATCCATACCCAATAGTCATAAAAGTGTTATAAA